TTTTTTAGTTTCCCAATCAGATTAGACTTTTAAAACCATGCACTTGCCGCTACTTTGCAATATTTCTAATAGCAGTTATAGTAGTTGAAGTATTGCCTCACATACGTTAACCTGTGCGATGCTGAATTTAAGCCTAAGAGCAGTGTTTACATCTCCCCAGGTGACAAAGTGCAGGCACCAGCAGATGCTACTGGGTGGGCTCACTGCTTAGGAAGTGCTGGACACTGCATCCAATCCAGGTTCCTGGCCTAACATGATTTTCACATTTTATTTTAAAGATACAAATACTTGGTCTTAATAATACTTACAAATTATATTTTGTTTTTGTCTGGGGTGCTTTTTAGGTCCCAGTACTTTTGCTGTTTAGGTCCTGAAGAAAGTTTTTAACAGGGACCTAAGAGATAGGGAAGGAAGCAAGCTGTACAGACATTTGCTATATACTAAAAAATAATAAGTATTACTATTATTATTTCTCAAAATTTTAATTGTATTTTATTGATTATGCTATTACAGTTGTCTAATTTTCCTCCTTTGACCCACATCACCCAGCATTCCCCACTGCCTCAAACAATCCATATACCTTTATTTATGTCTATGGGTCACGCATATAAGTTCTTTGACTATTCTATTTCCTATACTGTACATTACATCTCTATGACTGTTCTGTAACTACCAATTAGTATTTCTTTTTGATGTTGTCCTCCTCTTTGTCTCCCCTCTGCCCTGCACCACCCCACCCCACCCCTGACCTCCAGCATCCCACCCACCCCCTTAGTTCATGTCCATAGGTTGTACATATTAGTTTTTTGACTTCTGTTACCTATACGATTCTTAACCTCCCCCATCTATTTTATTCCTACCAATTATGCTTCTTAATCCCTGTACCTTTTCCCTCCATTCCCTCCTCCTCCCCACTAAAAACCCTCTATATATGATCTCCATTTCTCTAGTTCTGTTCCTGTTCTAGTTGTTTGCTTAGTTTTGGGGTTTTTTTTTTTTTAGGTTCAGTTGTTGATAGTTATGAGTTTTTTGTCATTTTATTGTTCATAGTTTTTTATCTTCCGCTATTTCTTAGATGATTCCCTTTAACATTTCATATAATAAGGGCTTGGTGGTGATGAACTCCTTTAACTAGACCTTACCTGGGAAGCACTTTATCTGCCCTTCCATTCTAAATGATAACTTTGCTGGATACACTCATCTTGGATGTAGGTCCTTGCCTTTCATGACTTCAAATACTTCTTTCCAGCCCCTTCTTGCCTACAAGGTTTCTTTTGAGAAATCGGCTGGTAGTCTTATGGGAACTCCTTTGTAGGTCACTGTCTCCTTTCCTCTTGCTGCTTTTAAGATTCTCTCCTTATCTTTATTCTTGGCTAATGTAATTATGATGTTCCTTGGTGTGTGCTTCCTTGGGTACAACTTCTTTGGGACTCTCTGAGCTTCCTGGTCTTCCTGGGAGCCTATTTCTTCACCAGATTGGGGAAGTTTTCCTTCATTATTTTTTCAAATAAATTTTCAGTTTCTTGCTCTTCTTCTCCTTCTGTCATCCCTATGATTTGATGTTGGAATGTTGAAAGTTGTCTCAGAGGTTCCTAAGCCTCTCCTCACTTTTTTGAATTTTTGGTTTCTTCATTCTGTTCTGGTTGGATGTTTATTTCTTCCTTCTGCTCCAAATTGTTGATTTGAGTCCTGGTTTCCTTCCCTTTACTGTTAGTTTTCTACATTTCTCTTCATTTGCATAGCCTTGACTTTTTCCTCCATTTTGCAACCATACTAAGCCATTTCTGTGAGCATCCTGATTACCAGTGTTTTGAGCTCTGAATCTGATAGATTGGCTATCTCTTTATCACTTAGTACTATTTTTGGAGTTTGATCTGTTCTTTCATTAGGGCCATATTTTTTTGTCTCAGTGCAGCTATTACATTGTAAGGGGTGGAGCCTTAGGTATTTGCCAGGGCAGGGCAACCCAGGTTGCTACCTTGTGGCACTGTATATGGGGGAGGGCTCAAGAGGGAGCAACACTGCTTGATCAGATCTTGTCTGGCTTTCAGTCACTTTCCAGGCTACCCACAAGCAAATTGGGCCCTTCTGGTGCTGAACCTCAGGTGGTTGGGTTTGTGTACATTCTAAGAGGCTAGAAGTTGCTCTTGATGCTGCAACCCCCACAGGTTTTTTGTGCCAGAGGTTTTAGGTTTTATATCCCTGCATTGGAACCCTGGGTTGTGTGGTCTCTCTTGCTCCCCAGTTTTTCTTCCCAGTCATATGAAGTATGAGCCAAGACCAGCCATTCTTAAGGAAAAACTGAACAGCTTAGGTGGGCTTATAAGTTAGGTGGGGGCTGAACCTTAGGGGATCTCGATGGCAGGGCAAACTGTGTTAGCCAGGTTGATGGAGTGTGTTGAGGCAGGGTTTCAGAGGAAGAACAGTGGCCTCTGCTCACCTTTCTGTATGGGCAGAAGCTGTCCCCCAGCTCCTCACCTTGTTCCTAGATACTTCAGTTCCTCCCCATATGCCACCAGTGCCTTTCAAGCTGCTACCTCGGCATGAAACTTAGGAATAAGTCTGACTAATTGTGTGTGGGTTCTTTAAGAGGAATTGCTTCTAGAAGTTTCTTCCAGCAACACAGTCCTCGCTGGTTTTTGCAACCAGAAGTTATGGGGACTTACCTTCCTAGCACTGGAATTCTGGGCTGTAGAGCCTGGTGTGGGGCTGGGACTCCTCACCCCTGAGGTATCCCTCTCGAATTTTTATTTACCACATATGGGTATCTCCGAGTCTCCTCCCCTCCTACCAGTCTGGATGATTGTGGTCTCTTTAATTCCATAGTTTTTGGACTTCCATTCAACTTGATTTCTGATGGTTATCATTCTTAAAATTTTAATAACAGGTAAGTTCATTCCACAAATACTTTGAGAACCTATTTCATGTAAGATATAGTTGTTCTAAGAGGTCACCTTTCTCAATATACTTTATTTTTGCAATAGACCAAGAAAATACGTTCATCTCAGAATTTGCTCTTTATGATTACATGAAAAGATAGAATTATCTTAAAACAGATCATCTATGTATCAATATGTGTTTTCTGGGGTATAAGAAACTAGCTTTTAAAAATGACTAGGGGGAAAAAGTACAGAGAATAAGTAGCATAGATGGTAGGTAGAAAATAGGGGGAGGGTAAGAATAGTATGGGAAATGTGAAAGCCAATAACTTACAAGTATGACACATGGACATGAACTAAAGTGGGGGAATGTGGGTGGGAGAGGGTGTAGAGGGGAGTGAAAGGGGGAAATGGGACAACTGTAATAGCATAGTCAATAAAATATATTTTAAAAAATAAAAATGACTAGGACCGTAGCCCGGTAGCTCAGTTGGTTGGAGCAGTGTCTGTATACCAAAAGGTTGTGGGTTCGATTCCTGGTCAGGGCACATACCAAGGTTGCAGGTTTGATCTCAGGTTGGAGGCATGTATGGGAAGCAACCGATCAATGTTTCTCTTTCTCTCTCTTTTTCTCTCTCTTCCCCCTTTCTCCGTGTCCCTCTCCCCCTTCCTCCCTCTCTCACTTTAAAATCAATAAATTGTCCTCAGCTGAGGACATTTTCAAACAATGACTAGGGAAGTTTTCTGCAACTGCTAGTTCATTTGATATTGTATATTTCTATCTAAAAACTTTTCTCCCTAGAATTCTTTGAGATGTGCCTGGGTTCCTTTTTTCTTATGATTCTCAGTGGAAGTAGTAACCAGCCTCATCCAGATACCCTTCATCACACACAAACACAGGGTCAGGAAGCCCCAACCAGTGGGCAGTCAGACACAACCTCACTCAGACCTTCTTTCTTGGGGTCAAGAGGCAGTGGACTGTGGAGTACATAATGTAGCTTAACTCTGCAAAACTTAGAAGGATGATTGGCCGGGTCCCTAAAGCCAAAGTACTAGGCATACCTAATTTCTCCTTCCCCTCTACCAAACACCTACACTTCTAAACATGGGCATTGAGACTTAGAGTTTTCTGTTTGCTTGGCCACCTCCCAGAATCCTTGCAGAAAGATGAAAAGAATTGCTCATCCCCAGGAACTGCTCAGTTTCTCATTTCTTGGTTGACAGAGACTAGCAGCCCTGGCCCATGTGGCTCAATTGGTTGGAGCGTCATTGGGTAACCAAAGGATTGTGGGTTCAATCCCTGCTCTGGAGATGTACAATCCAGGTCCTGGCATGCGTAGGAGGCAACTAGTCAATCAATCTCCCTCTCTCTCTGTCTCTCTTTTTCTCCCTCCTTCCCTCTCCCTCCCCCTTCCCGTTCCCCCCTGCCCCCAAAAAAGCAATGAGAAAAAAATACATCCTTGGGTAAGGATTAAAAAAAGAGGCTAACACTGGTTGAGGGAAGTAACAGGTAAGGCTCTCTGAGTATACAAGTTTGAAGCTTAAACTTCTATTTAGATACCTTATATCCAAGTCGAATCTGTCGAACTCATTGACTATCCATTTGCCCATATCTGTGTTATCAGAAAGCAAAATTCTTAAGCTCCCTGCTATCAAATTACCCAATCCAAAAAATGTCAATAAAAGAAAAATGCAGCCTTTGCTGAGGTGGTTGCCTTCATAAAAATATTTAAAAACCTTCATTTGAAGGTAATTTTCTTGTGAAATTATAGTTGCTATTACTTCTCATTGGGTTATAAGTTTCTGAAGGACAGGACTAGTCCTTATTTCTCTTTGAATCCCCAGGAACTCTATTTGATGCTCTTAGCTACTCCTGCCAGAAAGCAAAAACTGGACTTCAACACCAGGCTTTTTCTCTTAGCTATCAGAATACTTAAAATCCAGTGCTCATCCTATAGTTCTTTCTGCATGGCTACTTTGAGTGTTCTTGGAAGTAACCAGAGTGTACAACATACAAAATGGACATTTTCAATTTATAGCATTTTTTTAACCTGTCAGAAGGATGTTCTAAATGCATCCCCTTCTTTCTCACACTCCTCCCCTTTTTTTGAACACTACCAGGTATTCGATACAGCACTGATGTGAGTGTAGATGAAGTAAAAGCTTTGGCCTCTCTGATGACATATAAGTGTGCTGTAGTTGGTAAGTGATTTCCTTTGTTGTTACCTAATAAGAATTCTTTGGGGAAATATGTTTATATATAAGGTAACTTTTAATATGTTAGAGAATAAACTATCAGAACTGATTTTTTGTTTCACAGTTGAAGGCTTACATCATTTTTCAATTAGTGTTAAGATTTAGTCTTTTAAATGGGGGACTTTTTATAGTACCTAGTTGGATTTTTTTAATGTAAACCTGTGTTTAAAGCCCTTTTTATGTTCTGTACATAAGACCAAATCATCATAGAAGGAAAATAAATTTGCTTTTACTTTCAGAAGTAGAAGAGTACACTGATTAAGTATACATCGTAACTTGCCTAGGCTTATAATTTCTGTTTACTAGAATTTTAAAGTACAGCATTTTAGAAGAGATCAGTATGGATTTATTGCCTGAATTTTCTGAAATGAAAGTTTAAGGCATTACACATTTTTATAATATTGCATAGTGCTTTCTTCCTTTTTAATTATAAATATAAAGGATTTATAATCTTTTACATGGAATAACAACTTCCAGCCTTCTATTTCAGATGTGCCATTTGGGGGTGCCAAAGCTGGTGTTAAGATCAATCCCAAAAACTATACTGTAAGTATCAAAATGACATTTGTGCATGTGTTACATTTCCAAAGGATTTGAAATTACTAGGTGTCTGTGTATCTCCCACACCTGTGAGATTAATGGTCTCTATTGCTTTTAAAAAAATGGAAAAACAAGTAAATAATTAACTCATTGAATGTTTGCCGTATAAAAGGTCACCTGTTTAACATCAGTGTCCTTTTTCATTTTCTTACTTGGTTAAAAGGTGATTAATACCTTCATATTCTTAGGCAGTTATATACATGTTTATAAATTATAGTGACTGAGATTTTTGTGTCAGGATCTCAAGATTCTAGTAGCAAGTATCTTAATTAATCTGGTAAAAATATTATTATTTTTTAGTTCCAAAATAATTAAGCTAATCGGTACTGTGTTTTATAGTACCAAATTAACATCTATATACAAATATAATAAGTATATGTAATTTTATTCTTTTAAAAACTTTCCCTTTAAATGAAATCTTACCATAATCATGCTTTTCATGACTTAGAATACTTCTTTCCAGCCCCTTCTTGCCTGTAAGGTCTCTTTCGAGAAATAGGGATTGCTCATAGGGTCTTACATTAATAAAGAGAACAGGAACTGGGATTTGAGTCCTTTCTACTCTGTTGTTTGTATAACCTAATTTCTGATCTCTTTATTTTATCTTTATTTTTAAAGTTTTTTTATTTTATTTTTTTATTTCTATTTTTTAATATATTTTATTGATAATGCTATTACAGTTGTCCCATTTCCCCCCCCTTCACTCTCCTCCACCCTTCATACTCCCTCCCACCCACAAGCCCCACCTTTAGTTCATGTCCATGTGTCATACATACAAGTTCTTTGGCTTCTACATTTTCCATACTGTTCTTACCCTCCCCCTGTCTATTTGAAATGTATCATCTATGCTACTTATTCTCTGTACCTTTCCCCCCTCTCCCCCTCCCATTTCCCTGTTGATAACCCTCCATGTGATCTCCATTTCTGTGATTCTGTTCCTGTTCTAGTTGTTTGCTTAGTTTGTTTTTGTTTTTGTTTTAGGTGTGGTTGTTAATTGTGAGTTTGCTGTCATTTTACTGTACATATTTTTTATCTTCTTTTTCTTAGATAAGTCCCTTTAACATTTCATAAAATAAGGGCTTGGTGATGATGAGCTCCTTTAACTTGACCTTATCTGAGAAGCACTTTATCTGCTCTTCCATTCTAAATGAAAGCTTTGCTGGATGATTGAGAGGAATCTTGGATGTAGGTCCATCCTTGCCTTTCATGACTTGGAATATTTCTTTCCAGCCCCTTCTTGTCTGTAAGGTCTCTTTTGAAAAATCAGCTTTCAGTCTTATGGGAACTTCTTTGTAGGTAACTGCTTCCTTTTCTCTTGCTGATTCTAGGATTCTCTCCTTATCTTTAACCTTGGGTAATGTAATTATGATGTGCTTTGGTGTGTTCCTCCTTGGGTCTAACTTCTTTGGGACTCTCTGGACTTCCTGGAAGTCTGTTTCCTTTGCCAGATTGGGGAAGTTCTCCTTTATTATTTGTTCAAATAACTTTTTCTCTTCTCCTTCTGGTACCCCTATAATTTGGATGTTGGAATGTTTAAAGATGTCCCAGAGGTTCCTAAGACTTTCCTCATTTTTTTTTTTTTGAATTCTTGTTTTTTCCTTCTTTTCTGATTTGTGTTTCTTTCTTTCTTCTGGACCATACCATTGATTTGGTTTCCTTCCCTTCACTGTTGGCTCCCTGTACATTTTCCTTTATTTCACTTAGTGTAGCCTTCAGTTTTTCATCTAATTTGTGACCAAATTCAACCAATTCTGTGAGCATCCTGGTTACCAGTGTTTCGAACTGTGCATCTGATAGGTTGGCTATCTCCTCATCACTTAGTTGTATTTTTTCTGGAGCTTTGATTTGTTCTTTCATTGGGGCCTTTTTTTGTATTGATGCGCCTGTTACGTAGTGAAGGGCAGAGCCTTAGATAGTGACCAGGACAGGTTAACCTATGTTGCTGGGTTGTTACACTGTATGTGGGAAAGGGATCTGAGATGGAACCGTGGTGCTTGCTCTGCTCTCTGCTGGGTTTCAGTCACTTCCCCCACTTCCCACAAGCAAAGTGAGCCCTTCTGGTTTTGATTCCCATGTGCGTTGGCTTGTGTATGTTCTGGAACCCTATGGGTCTCTCCAACGAACTCTCCTGTGAGGCTAGGGGTTTCTCCCAGCACCTCAACCCCCACAGGTGTTTTCCATCAGTGGTTTGAGGCTTTATTTCTCTGCTCTGGGACCCAGGGTTGTGCGGTCAGTCCCACTACCCAGTTTTGCCTGGTTTATCTGAGCTTGAATGTGGGACCACCCAATCCACTAACCACTGTGCATGCTGCACCCCATTTCACAATCCACCACCTCACTGGGTCTGCCAGTCGCCCCCTTGCTGTGAGTCCGCCCCTCCTACCAGTCTGGATGAAGTGTCGTCTTGAACTCCTTGGTTGTTGGACTTCCATACAGTTTGATTTTCTGTCAGTTCCAGTAGCGTCTTGTTTTTAAATTGTTGTCCTCCTTTTGGTTGTGCGAGGAGGCACAGTGTGTCTAATTATGCCTCCATCTTGGCCAGAAGTCTATTTTCTTATCTTTAAAATGGAAATGCATGCTTTATGGGTTGCTCCGAGACCAAGAAAATGTATCAAAGTGCCCTATAAATAGAAATATGATGCAACTAATTTTCTCTACAAGTGGCTTTTCTGTTAAAGTTTTTTTCATTGATTTTGTTTTTATTTTTTTTTTTTTTCTTTACAGGATAATGAATTGGAAAAGATCACAAGAAGGTTCACCATGGAACTAGCTAAGAAGGGGTTTATTGGTATGTGTTTCCATGTAGGTTTCCCCATAGAAAGGGACTATCTGAAAAGTACCTAATTTATTAATTTTAACCCCTGCTTTTACTTATACATAAATGGACAGAGTTACCCTTTTTACTTTGAGAACCTGAGTTCTGTGATAAATATGGTGAGATACCTAGATGTATTTATGATACATCCGTACTAGAAAAGTTCAGGGGCCCAGTATGCAATGTGGATACCAAGAGAGGTCACATCCACCTCTTCTCCTTATACATAGTAATGGTTCTGGGTCACTATAATAACACTGTACAATCCTGTTGCAACTTCCAGAAAGACCAAGGCCATATTTTAGGAACTAAATAATACCTGTGTTATATAATATTTTTTAATGTGTAAAAAGCAGTTTTACACATCCTGTTGTTCTGATAGCAGTGAGAAATCTGATACCTTTGGAATTGGAGGGTTAAACCTGCCTTTGCCTTCAAAGCAGTGGGCACAGGCAGAGAGGTGGGGCAGCTCATGCTAATGGCTCACTCTGCCATCACTAACTGATTTTGCAGATTCCTGAGATTCTTATTGTTTGTTACTAGGAGCTTTTGCCAGACTAAATTTCTGAAGGTACTGATCTTAATTTGGTTGATGTTTTTGCATCATATTAATTACTATTTGTGTCATGTGTTCTTTTTGTGAGATAGGAATATTCTTTTCTGATGTATAAGTATTCATCAATCTTTTAATTTTCAAGCACTGAGTCTTTCTATATATTTCTTACTCTAGAAATATTCTGATTTGTTTTAAAAAATAAACCACATTACTAGGTAGAATATTTTCTTTCTTAACATAGTTAAACTAAAGAGGACTAACATGGGAAAGAAAAATCTACTTCTCTTTTCCTGCCCCTGTGTTTTTCTTCCCCAGTATTTCCCCCACTGTTGACAAGTTCCTGTGAACTTAAGATTCATGTTCAGTCTATTAGTAGCCTTCATAATTTTTTATAGCATATTTCTTCTTTTAAATCTCAAAGTATTTAATAGCCTTGAGTGGCTTCATACTTTATTCAGTTGTGTTTATTGCCCATTACTCAAGAGTATTATTCAGCTTAATTTTCTCTATATCGACAAGTATCTTAGAGCTCCAAAGGTTAAAAACTGATTCATTGAAACATTGAAAGCTTATGGACCAGCAATTTGACTTCTTTGCTTATATGCAGAAACCTCATTCTTCATCAACCCACAGTGCCACTAAACTAGACCTCTAGGCCTAGAAATCTTTGTAGAACAAGACAGAAGCAAAAGGATTTCTTTTTCTCCTTCCAGGGCACAGAACTATTACTGTGCAAACCGGTGGAATTGATGTTATTTCTCTGTTATTTTCTGACTCCCCTGTAACCATATTAAGTGTTCTAGTCCATGAACACTGAATGTCTCCCCATTTCTTTAGGTCTTTAATTTCCTTCAGTGATATTTTGTAGTTTTCAGTGTACAAGTCTTACACTCCTTTTTCAAAGTTTGTTCTTAAGTACTTTATTCCTTTTGATGCTATTCTGAGGAATATTGTTCCACAGGATAAAGTTCGTAAAAGATTGGCATTCTGTTGTGTGAGTTTAGATACCATCCTTATAAACTGTTAAGTTTATAAGTGTTTGCTTCATAAACTTTGTTAAAAAAATACCCTAATGCCTTCAGTAGAGCCCTTTTGTCAGAGGGTGAGACTAGAATATGCCATTAATCCTTCAAGTAGGAGGGTTGTATGGGGTAATGATGGGTTTGGAGAGTTAGACTTCATGAGATTTCTAAGATACCAGTTATAGATTGGGTAGGGGAGATGGGCTGGAGTATAAAAAGCAAACCTTGACCATTTCAAAGTTGTCTTATACCCGTTCTGTGTCCATTATATCATAACTTGTACAAAAAAGTCCAGTGTCTAGGACCTTGGCCCCTGAAATATAGAAGAATATTAAAGTGTTCCTTATATTGCTGGTTAAAAAGTAAAAATTGTAGGAAAAACTTGAGCCCTGAGTGGTGTGGCTCACCACTGGACTGAGTGCTGGCCTGCAAACCAAAAGGTTTAATTCCCAGTCAGGGCACATCCCTGGGTTGCAGTCCGGGTCACCAGTTGGGTGCGTGGGAGAAGCTACTGATCAACATCTTTCACACCAATGTTTCTCTGTCTCTCTTCCTCTCTCTCTAAAAATAAATAAATAAAATATTTTTAAATTTAAAAAAAGAAAAAACTTGAGTTCTTAGAACAAACTTTATTTTGGGGGAGACTTAATAGTTTTACCAAGTTGTGTTTTTCTTTTTGTAATGATATGAAACAGTGTGTTTCAACTGTATAATAAGGTTGAAATCCAAATATCGTGAACAAGTTTATGCATCTTTTTCCAAAGTACACACATATATGCACATGGAAATATATGCATAAATATTATACAGTATAGAGTTATGTAAGTGGGAACATATATATGTTATATGAGACTTACATATTTCCTCATGTCTGTTTTGGTGATGATGCCAAGTCATTTACATGGGCATACATCATCCTTTTATTCTCATTACATTTGATAGAAGTATTTCTACGTGTTTCTGCCTTTACAGATTTGAGTGAGCATCATTTAACACGTTTTTATCTGAATCTCACTATGGCTATCAGTAGTGTATTATCAATGGCACCTGTTGCTGCTTTGAGCTAACTTGTTATCCTCCAACTTTTTAGTTGACTGTGATCTGAGAAATTAAAAGCCAGGGCCTAAAACTTTATATACACTGAGTAAAGCTTTGGATAATAGTCAAAGCAGCATTCTGTTATGGGTAAAAGTAATATGGGGCTTACACAATTGCTTCAGCAATATGTCTTTTTTCCTTCCTTCTTTTTCTATATGCTGAGGAGGGTATACATCCCCAGTAAGGGGTATGTTACTTCATACACATATACTCTCTAACCGTAGCAATCATATTTGTCAGGGCATGATAGTATTGTTATCTCTGATTGCAGTTTAAGAAATTGAGATTAAACAGGCTGAATTGATTTGTCTGTGTTTACATATACAGAGTCCTATGGAGTCGTTTATGTCTGTGCATAGCTGTCTTCCAAGTAAATGCCAGTGGGAAAAAGTTCCATGTAATACTGTGGATGTATAAATTCAGAAGTGAAACATTTAATACATATAATAAACATTTCTTTGACTTCAGTTAGTTACCTAAATGAAATCTAAAGTTTTCTAACCATGGTGGCTCTGTTACAGAGAATTACAAGGATCTTTGTGTTTGACATGAGTTTATCTTCAAAACTAGTTCAGTATCCTTTCCCTATGCCCCCAGGTCCTGGCATTGACGTGCCTGCCCCAGACATGAGCACAGGCGAACGGGAGATGTCCTGGATTGCTGACACCTATGCAAGCACCATAGGGCACTATGTAAGCACCCACCAAAAGGCCTAAAGCTTCATTTGCTATCTCTGAGAAATGACAATTTATATTATATGTGAAAGTAGAGAATCCACTGGGTTTATCACCTCCCCTTTAATAATATCTTGATTTGCATGTTATTTTACTTCTCTCTCTGTTCTTATAAATGTAGTAAACGTTGATTGAGCTTTTTCTTAGATGCCACGTTATCATGGGTGCTGGGGTGGGACCTTCAGAGAAGGATCACCTACCTGGGCAATATGCTGTCCTAAGACACTAGAAAAGAAATAAAGAGGCTTTCATTTCTGACTTTTTCCATAAGAGCTTTGATTTAAAGAGAAATGAAGATACATAAGCAAATAAGGTATGGAGATAGTGTGATACAATGTTAGAGTTATAGTTTCTGAAACAAGGTTTCCTGGAGGAGGTGTTTGAACTAGACCTTGAAAATGGATAGAATTTGAATATAGGGATTGTCTGAAGGTAAGACATATTTATAAAGGTTATAAGATAGTGAAGAGGTAAGTGGACCAGGACAGAAATATTAAACCCTGGTATTTTGTTGTACGCTTTAGAGGAGAACCTTTGATGCTGACCCATCGTTTGGGGATGTTGGGCTGTACTAGAGCAAAGAGATAAACTCCTTCATAGCCCAAGAACCATAGGGGCTGGGGAGAAGCATTGGCACCTGGCAGAGATAGACTCGGCCAGACTGGATAGGATGTGTGGGATCAAGGAACAGGACAACACTCAGAGAGAACCAAAAGGACTTGAGTGTGGGGACAGAGCAGAAGTGGTGCCACTAATACAGAACACAAGAAGTCTGTCTCTAAAGGGATAAAACCCTGAGAAGCAAACATTTAAGTGTGAGGAAGAGAAATAGAATTGAAAAAAACATCCATTTGAAATATATGCAGAGAACCTACTATGTACAAGGCTAAGTATAAGCAAGGTGTTCAGTGCAACTGGGATGGATACTAGAAGTTTTGATGCTATGGAAAGAATAATGGGATCCTGATCAATTCTTTGGAGGTAAGATTAGAAAAGGCTTCTTTGAAGATGAGTAGGCATCAACCAGGGGAAGGGCAGGACAAGGGTTACAGGCAGGAGGAAGCACCTGGGTAAAGGTTCAGATATGCAAAAGAGGTAAACTTGAGAGAAGACCATGGTAATGAGAGTAGAGAGAGATTGTAGGGCTCAAGAGAAACCAGCAGAGGAGGATTAGACCAGATTACCACCCTATCAGTGACAGCAGGACTTGTATCTTTGTCCCATAAACAGAGGGAAACTGATGACACACTAATTGTGAGCAGGTGTGTGACACAGCTGAGTGTACATTTTAAGATTCACTCTGTGTGACAGAGACTAGGATTGTTGGGGGGCAGGATCCCAGAAAGAGAGGTGGTGTTAGCCTGCCCTAGCATTGGAGAGAAATGGGCAGATTAAAGAATGATTTAAGGGAAGAAAGCACTCAATTGTAAAAGAATGAGAAGCACTGAGGGCTGTGTGTTGTGAGTGTTCAGGGAGGGAAAAAGTTTCTGAAGAGAGACCAGTTCAGCAACGGGCTTATCCTCAGGGCAGTGAGTTGGGATCCAAACTGCAAGGGTGAGTTAAGAGAGGGAAGTAGGGCATGAAGAGCAGCTTCCGCTTTAAGGAAAATGCACTGGAGAAAAGCAGAAGGAAGACAACTAGAAAGATGGCTATTGTCCAAAGAAAAAGATTTCTGTTGTTCATTTAGCATTTGACTGGCTTTGGTCCACAAATTCATTGGTGTGAGACATAGGTGATGTGAGAGAAATATAGGATGGTAGATGTAGCAAAATCTTCCAAGGGAATAAAAATAAAGGCCTAGACAACTTTTTAAGGGCCTAAAGGAAAGATCGGCCTTGGAGAAGAGGAGGAATATTTTTCATCTTGAGGGGGAAGAAGGATGCTGTGGCACCCAGTGGAGGAATTTGCAGCTCAGTCTCATTTCCTGATAAGTGCAGTCTGTGGTGGGAGCATGGGCATAAGCCTGGATTCTGGAATAGGCTCCTTCGCACACCAGCTCTGTGACCCATGGCAGGTACCTCAGTTTCCTCATCTGTAAAGTGGCAATAATACTACTTACTTCATGAGAGAGTCATGAGAATTAAATCAATAATAAAAATACAATGCACTTAAAGTAGTACCCAGCCCTTATTTAGTAAGCACAAAAAAATAAACTTTATAAATACCACATTGTGTCAGTTGCACACATCCCCTGAAGTAAAACAGAGCAGTATGAGACACTTCAAAGAATTTTGATTTCCCAGAAAGGATGTTTTTCCATGTCACCTTTTTACATTCAGTGAGCTCTGGGTATGGACTCTTATTCTTTTGTTCTTTTTAAGCAAGACACTGGATTAAAGAATACAAAGTAGTAGGCAAGTGTATTGTTATTCATAGCTCATTCTCAATGGTGACAGCAAAAGAAAGTTTTGTGACACTCCGGCAGCTAAAACCTTGGACTACACTGGTAACAGACTTTTTCTTCTTCAAATGATAAGAAATTCAAAATCAGGACTTCAGGAAGCCATAGTTTTTGTTACTTATTTCCAGATATGAACCTAAACCACGCAGCTCCTTTGGTCTAGTCCCACCTGGAAGAGCCAGTGTTGTAGGGAGAGTTCATTCTCCTCCCTGGGCTTCCAGGACACTTGGGTATGCTGGGCAGCCGGGTGCTGGCACCATGCCTGACCTCGCAGAAGACTGCTGTCAGCTCCAGCATTTGCATTTCCACTGTTTAAAAGCACTTGGCACTAGGTTTGCATTTCTGTATTCATAAGTGTTAATTACTCATGGAAAAAACAACTGTGGGAAAACTACTAATTCTGTGAATCACTTTATTAGACTGCTTTTTTTTTAACAATTTTATTCTTTTTGTTGGTAAGTATACGAATAATACAGTTCTTGGTCATCTCTGTAAAAATACTTAAACAATATGGAAAACACCAAATTACTTTTTAATTCAACCTAGCTAGGACATATATCGGAACTTGGGGATAAGGTGTGAAGCAAGGCACTTGATCTTGTTTCACATGGATAGCAACTTGCTATAAGTTTATTAAATAGTTATAAGCTTTAGCTACTCATGTACAATGCTTTCTTCATTTTATATAGATTTCCTATATATATAATAGAACTGTCTCTAATTTCTCCTGTCTCACTAATCAATTTGTCTGTTCTGCACCGGTTGCTACAGTTTATGGTGTATTTGATACCATGAAAGGGAAGGCCTCTGAAACGTTTTCACCTTTTTCCTAATTATAGTTGTTTCTGAATAAGAATATATGCAAAAAGCTGGTGGTAAAGACTGTTGCCCTTCCATTTCACTTCCCAGACTGAACTACTGACACCAGAGGTATTCTGTGGGCCTCTGTCCTACCCACATGTACTTTTTTTTTTTTTTTTAACCTAAATGATACCATACTAAATATACAAAAAAAAAAATTCCTAGAGTAGAATTTTGTGATTGGTGGGTATTTTTATTTTGGTAGGTATTCCAAATTGCCCCAACACCCCCTAATTACTTTGTTGTGTTTTTTTGTTTGTTTGTTTGGGAGTTTTTTGGTTGGTTAGTTTTTTGTTGGGTTTGTGGGGGTTTTTTGTTTTGTTTCGTTTTTGCTTGACTGCTTTTGCTGACCCACTTTTTTAGGTGAACTTGAGTATTTTCTTTTAAAGCCTTTTTTTTTTTAAGATTTTATTTATTTTATTTTTAGACAGAGGGGAGAGAACAGAGAAAGAGAGGGAGAGAAATATCAATGTGTGGTGGCCTCTTGTTTGCTCCTCACTGGGGACCTGGCCTACAACCCAGGCATGTGCCCTCACTGGGAATTGAACTGGCAATGCTTTGGTTTGCAGATCAGCACTCAATCCACTGAGCCATACCAGCCAGGGCTTAAAGCCTTTTTTAAGTGGTATTTTATTGAATTTGTAAATTAGTTTGACAGAAAAATATCTTTGCAACACTGAGTCTTCCCATTCAAGAACACCACCATAAGCTCTGTTTTGGTGACATACTCAAATCTTAGTGGAGATTTTAACACGCTTAAGGGTAGGGTGTACCCTGATTTAGAGGGGGTAAGTATGTATTGAAAGAATAATAGTTTTAAGATGAACTATCTCTATTTTTGTGACATTGTTGTTTGTACCTATGTGGTGTTAAAGTTGTACACACCCTGTTTCTCCCATTGGAGAACATACTGTACTTGTACACATTTTCTAGGAACAGAAATCTTGAAAAGTGAAGCATGTCCCTCTTGATGAAAGTGTCCATTGAACACCTCCTGATAAGAATGTGTTCTGACTCCAATCCTTCATGACATTGGTTTGTTATATGAAATTCTCCTTAAGATTTTATCATTAAAGTTTTGACTTTCTCATGTAGGATATTAATGCCCATGCCTGTGTCACTGGTAAGCCCATAAGTCAGGGTGGAATCCATGGACGGATCTCTGCTACCGGCCGGGGAGTTTTCCATGGGATTGAAAACTTCATCAATGAAGCTTCTTACATGAGCATTTTAGGAATGACACCAGGATTTGGGGATAAAACATTTGTTGTTCAGGTAAAAAATATTGTTTCTTAAAGAATAACTGATATATGTAAAGTAAGTTGCTTAATGTTTTTAGATTCGCAATTTTAAAGATTTGATTCCTTTGAATCTTGAAGTTTTAGAATGGTTGTTTATCTCTCGGATGTATATGAGGGGGGCCCTCCAAAAAGTAGAATTATCTTCTGGAGGGCAAGCCTCTTGTAATACAGGCTTCCCCCGTTAGGTGAGTGTTCTAGGAACCCATCTGTATCAGTGTACAGCTGGCATTGATGTGGGAAGCTGTGTTCAGCTTCAGTGAATTATTTTTTTGAAGACGATCTTTCAACACATGCCCACACTGCACTGAGCAGTTTTTGACCAAAAAGTGGCTTGACACCCATGCCCCACCCTCTCTATTCTTCCGATCTCACCCCAAGTGACTTTTTTGTTTCCCTGGATGAAAAAAGTCCTCAACGGGAAACATTTTGCCAATGTGGAAGAGAAGAAACAAAAAATGGCAGAACTAAAAGGCATCAAAATCAACAAATTTAAAAACCATTTTGAGCAGTGAAGAAAAAAGTCTCGATAGGTGTGTTGCATCAGATGGGAAGTACTTTGAAAGTGACTGAAGTTTGAATATGTAATAATAAAATACGCAACTTCTTATAAATAAGTTCTGGGGGGATTTTCAGGTGCCCTCCCCCTTCTGTGAAACTATCACCAACTTCTTTTGATCAATATTTGAATTGAAATTGTATCTAGAAGGGTAAGTGTCCTAAACTATTAGGGGTAAAGGATTTGATTGGTATTTGATTATTTTACCTAGAGGAATTAAGTTGAGTGCTACTTGAAAATAGAATTCGTATTTCTCCCAGTTAGTGACTTACCTTTTTATAACCACAGGACAGGAATCTGGTCTCAAGGACCGAGGATCTGGGTGGTATGATTGACGCCACTGTCATTTCTTTATAAGTTTACAAAGCTAAACTAAACTTCTTCAGGACTTGTTGTAACAGATAACAAAGGGTTTGGTCCCACATTTTTAAACGTAGAAATTTATTGTTGAAGAGAGGCCATTTAGTTCATTGTTTCTTTTGGCCAAAGGATATTGAGAATTACTTTTAACAGAATGTCAGATGCATTGGTCAGAATATGACTCTTACCATCTATCTGTGGTAGGAATTTGATTTTTTGTGTCATATATAATTGTTCTTTACAGGGATTTGGTAATGTGGGCCTGCACTCGATGAGATATTTGCATCGCTTTGGTGCTAAATGTGTCGGTGTTGGTGAATCTGATGGGAGCATATGGAATCCAGATGGTATTGACCCAAAGGAACTGGAAGACTTCAAATTGGTGTGTTAACCTAATATATGAACAGTTTAATAACTACACTGAATATTGTAAAGTTGCAATGAGTTTTATTTAAATTTATTTCCTTTGCTTTGAAGATGATTTTGTCTTCATATCAAAGGCACTGAACATATGCATTGAAACTCTAGTGCAGTTGTTAATTCCGATTTTCAATCAATTACAGCAACATGGATCAATCCTGGGCTTCCCCAAGGCAAAGCTTTATGAAGGGAGCATCTTAGAGGCCGACTGTGATATACTGATCCCTGCTGCCAGTGAGAAGCAGCTGACCAAGTCCAATGCACCCAGAATCAAAGCCAAGGTAAAAGCAGAATGGAGACTGGGTTCAACCTTACCAATATGGATGACACTGAAGGTCACAGAAAGATGCTCATTGGGTATACTTTTTTTTAAAGCAACTTATTGAGATATAATGCACATACCATACAATTCACCCAAGTATACAATTTTTAATGCCTTTTCATATATTTGGAGTTGTACAACTATCACCATGGGTTTTCTCTTAAACTAAACTTGCAAAAAGTAGTTATAGAAATAGGTGAAAAATAGTTTTATATACTTTAGAGCAAAATGACATTATTTGATTTAAACTCAAATTACTCTTCCCTACAACTCCCTACCCAAAAATGCACATCTTTTGAGCTCAGTGAAGGAGATTTGGTGGTGGCATTGGTATTTTTCTATGTTCCTGACTTTCTTACAGATCATTGCTGAAGGTGCCAATGGACCAACAACTCCAGAAGCTGATAAGATTTTTCTGGAGAGGAACATTATGGTTATTCCAGATCTCTACCTGAATGCTGGAGGAGTGACAGTGTCTTACTTTGAATGGCTAAAGAACCTAAATCATGTCAGCTATGGCCGTTTGACCTTCAAATATGAAAGGGACTCTAACTACCACTTGCTCAGTAAGTTCTGATGAAATTGGTCTCCAAAAATGAATAATCTTATGGGCCAGCTTAGAAGGATGGAAAAGCTTAAATTTAAGACTAGTTTCCTTTTGTAATCCTAAAGAATTTAACTTAAGTACAGAAAACTTATATTTTGTCTTGAGTCTTAGACCAAAAATATACAATTTCTTTATAGATAGTCAGTATATTAGCTCTCTCAAATAGATTTATATTCAAATATTCTGTGGTATAATATTCCAAGAACATAACCTACAAGTTAGTAATAGAAAGAGTATCATTTTAAACCATGAACTTGTGGTGATGCGCATCCCATTTTTGCCTCTGGTTGCTCTTAATAAAGGACCATTTAGTGACAAGAATATTTCAGTCTTCTGATGAGAGTAGTGTTTTTATTTAACTAAAGTAGGCTCCAGAGTTAACAGAATTTTCATCAAGCTGAAATAAGACCAAGACCTCCAACTGAGCTCCTTCACTCAGCCCACTCAGGATCTGGGTGAAGCGATCCATCTAGTTCCTTTTCTTTTTCCCTCAGCAATTTCTTTTTTTAAGAGCCAAGGAAAAACCCTGGTAATGGGTGTTACGGAAACAAAGCAGTGACCTAAATTCACATTTATATAGGAATTTGGCCAAGTGCTTTGTTCCTTTTAAACAATTAACCCTTTCGTGTCATTTAGTGTTGAAAGTTTCTAAGACTCTTGGATTTGGGGTCATGGGTATAGTTTTGGACAAATTTTGGTTCAACTTTATTTTTTTTTTTCTATTAGCAATGTTTTATCTTTATATCTTGGCTTTTCATAGTGTCTGTTCAAGAGAGTCTGGAAAGAAAGTTTGGAAAGCATGGTGGAACTATCCCTGTTGTGCCCACAGCAGAGTTCCAGGACAGGATATCGGTGAGTGTGCTCATGACAGAGTTTCATTTAACACACACTGCCTGCTCCCTTTAGACTCAGGTCAAGTAGGCTAAGCTGACAAGCTCTGGTCAACATGATAGTTATTATACGACTTGTATATGCTTTATGCCTTCCTCTTTCACTACGTTCTAAAAATGGAGTAATAATCCTAGAGCAAAATAAATAAAATGGTTCTCTTTTTGGCTTTTGCAATACAGATGACTCAACCAAGTGATTCTAATGTAGTTGTAAAGAATTATATTATGTGTTTTAAGAGCTATATTAAGCTCTTTTAAGCTTCTGAGAAATAAAAATTGAAAAGTAAACATTCGATAGAACTATATTGAAAAGTTATAATTGCTATATAAATACAAATAAGAGTTAAAACAGATTAGAAATGGTATCTGATGTTAATTAACTGTTGACACATTATATTGATAATGCATACACATCACAAATAGAATTTCTTCACAAGTAAGTGGCAGAAGATATGGGAAACAAAGTCAGAGGAAATAGGCCTAGAAAAATGTTTAACCTCACTGTTAAAAAATACAAATTAATGTATTAAGCTAGCAAAAACAATTAATGCATCTTATACTCACCATGTCTGTGGTGAAGCAATTGTATCTTTATTCTGATAACAATGCAGATTGGTACACGGCTCTTTGGAAAAATTTAAGCATTGTTAAAGTGTTTCTACCCTTAGATGTAATAACATCCCCTCTGAGAATTTATTCTAAGAAGATAATTCTAAAGGAGAGGAATGGCTGCAGGCAAGATGATGTCATTGAAACTGTATGTGCAGTTTTTAAAATTCATTTTGATATATATGGCAAGAAAATGGCTAAATTACATCTTATGAAATGACATAATCATGGAAAATAACAAGACTATATCAGTGATTTTCATCCTTTTTCATCTAATTACTAACCCCCAAAAAGGTATAATTTTGATTAATTCACACTGGATGGCTATTGTTGGCTATGGTTGTTTTTATTATTTGGTAGACTGAGGGAAGAGGTCAGTGGTCCCTGACTAAATAGTCAGGTATTGCATGTTTTAAAAATTCTTGCAGCACGCCAGTTGAAATCGCTGTACCGTATTGAACCATGTGGGAAAGTTAAGGGTTTTGTTTTGGAGATGCTTTGCCACCCTGGGTACTAACTGTTCTCCTAAATGAATCTTACTCTTTCCAGAGGCAAGTCTCTGTTAGTTCTGGTCCCTCTGTCTGAAATGCCCTAACCCCCTTCTTGCTTAGATATCACCGCATCTTGAGGCCTTCCCTGAAAGTGCCCTCTGCATACATCCTTCCATCACCAATAACTACAGTGCTTTGGAAGGACTGGTGCTGCTCTTCATTGAACTTCTTTCTCCTCCCAGTGGTCACCCCATGTCTTAGCACCTGCCTGGCACATACCAATCACTCAGATTGAAACCTCCAGAGGGAGTACAGAAAGAGGGCAGCTAATTAGTTAGGAAAATAACTGTGGTGATTTTCCTTTTATCCTTTAAAATAATATTTGCCCAATATATTGATCTCCCAATTTTCAAATGCTTCCAGTGCTTCTAATTTTAGACTTTAGTGCTATTTCTCCACCTCTTACCTATTATAGGAGTCTTATAATAAAGTGTTCTTTTCCAGCTCCTCTCTACTTCTCCCTTCCCCAGCCGTATCCTAGCCCTTCTAGGACCTAATCACTAATTTTATCATCTTTTTACTGTCTCTTATTGACCCCCATTGTCTTCAGTTGTCTTCTTCTCTAACTTAAATTCCATATTCTGTCACCACAATGACTCCCTAGTCTATTTCTGCTTCATCGTACCCCTTATTCACACCTGAACCCTGATAAAAATCTGGATCTCTGCCCCTCCATGCCTGTACCTCACTAGCTGGAGGCCTTGCTGACTGTTTGATCCTAACCACTAACCTCAAGTAGGCTCTTAGAGCTGCCTAGCACTTGTACTATTTTCCCTTGTTCCATTTATTTTCTCATTCTCCTGAATGAATATTATATTTTCTCCTATCTCTCCTGCACTGCAACTCATGACCTGGTATATGTTTTCTCAGAGAAAATTGAAGCAGTCAGAGAACTTCCCCATATACCCAGCTCCTGGTATCCGTGCCCTCTCTCATGTCATCTCTGCTCTTGTTACAGATGAACTCTCTGTACTTCCATCTGAGCCCAAGTCTTGCTCAGGTCATTGGATGGCCTGTTTTCAACTTACAAAATGCACAGTTCAAGCAAATCTTCCCCACTCTTCTGTATCATTAGTCCTCCCTCTGTTCAGCCATTTCTGTCAGTGTACCATATGCTGTCTTAAAAAAGACAAATCTTAATCCCCCTTCCTCTTCCAGGTCTTGCCATTTTTATTTCCCTTAGAACAAACCTTCTTAAGAGTTGTATATACTCTGTGCCAAGTTCATCTATACTTGAGCTTACTCTTAATGCCCGTCACTCCACTGAAACTGTTCTTGTCAAGATAACCAGTGACATCAGCCCCTTCAAATCCAATGGTCATTTCTCAGTCTTCGTCTTCCTTCACCTGTCCGCAGCTGTTGTCACAGTGATCAGTCCCTCCTGAATTATAACATTTTCTTTTCTTACCTTCCAGGATACCACACTCACCTGGTTTTCTCCCTGCTTTACTAGCTATCCTGGTCAGCTCTCCACTTGTTTAACATTGGAGGGACTTTGTTTCTGAACCAGCTCTCTGTTTGAATTCAAAAAATTTGTTTTTAGTATGTTGATTTGAGAGGGTTTGCAAAACATTGATTTGGTGTTCCACTTACTTATGCATATTCATTGGTTTATTCTTGTATGTTTCGTGACTGAGGGTTGAACTCGCAACCTTGGCATATAGGGATGATGTTCTAACCAACTGCCTATCCAGCCAGGGCTGAGGTCAAAATTTTGATGATTTCACCCAACCTTATGGTTTTAAGTCCCAAGTGTATTCTACCTCTTCCCATCAAAATATAAACTCCATGAGAACAGAGAATTTTCATTATTGTTTTCTGCTGTTTCCCCAGTGTCTAACACATAGTAGGTTCTCAGTAAATTTGGTGGATGGATGATTGAATCGGGGAAACAGCAGTGTTCCACCTGTGAAGCAAGATTTTTTCCTCTTCCTAACTTGGTAGAACAAAATAAAGGCTAACCCAGATGTTTCTTGGTTCATAGGCCCACACTCAATCCACACCAGCAATGGCAGAAATATACCTTAATTGAGTAGAGTGTTAATTGAATGAAGTTCAGCATAGATAACTTATTGTGGTGACCTACTTTTTAAGTTATCTGGCATATCAGGATATGTGTTTGATAGTTAAATATGTCCTATTAGGAATGGTGGTGATAGTTAATTGTCCTAAAATTTTAGAAAGCATTCTAAAACACAAATAAAGAAACCTATTGAAACAAATTGACTTATAGAGATAATTGCCATAGGAAAGAGATGAGCTGGCTTGGTGGTCAAAGGCCCTGAGTTGTATCCCAGCCCTAAAAATAGCTGTTCATAAACTTGACCAGTTTCTGTGGCCAACAGTTCCCTCATCAGTAGAATTAGGGGGTTAATTAGCACTGCTAACATTCATCCAGCTTCAAAAGTTGGTGACACTGCTGAATGTAGAGTCAGGATCCTACCCCAAAGCTACTATTGAGGTGAGCAGATAGATGCCTTTCTGTGCCATATTGAGGACTGGAGGTGTGTGCCCTGCGACGTGAACAATGGAACCTGTTGCTGTGGTACAGCTGCATCTTGGGGGGCCAGTGCTGATCTCAGGACTTGCCCTCATCTTTCTTGGTTCATACTTTTCTGTGATCATTTTTTTACCCTGTAGGATCTTATAAATTTATGTTCTTTTTCCTAATAGGGGGCATCCGAGAAAGACATCGTGCACTCTGGTTTAGCTTACACTATGGAGCGCTCAGCCCGGGTATGTGTGCACATGCTGTTTGTGTTTCTGCTAGTGACATGAAGGGCAGCCCATCTTCTTAGCCACCAGACTGTGTATGCAAAAGCACAGATTATGATTGCATGTGCAGCAATGGAAAACCACTGTCTGTTTACATGTCCCTTGTGTGTGTGTAGCAAAATACATGCTTTTTCGGTCTTAAATGATGAGCAGTCTTTTTAGGATCTTTGTTGTGTTCACCAGGCATATGGAAATAAATGATAATACCAAGTTAGGAGGGGGTGATGTTGGTAGTTAGCTAAATATGAAGTAGTCAACCAAAGTGGGTTGCAACTCAGTAAACACTCCATTATAGCTATAGGGAGCTACCTCACAATATAATTGGATATAAATAAAAGGTTTTTTGACCACTAGATCCTTATTTCAAGTCCTTACACACAGTTTAAGTCTGGTTTTCTTAATTTCTTTTGGAATTCAAATTCTACGCACTTTGCTTTAAGTTGAAATAGCACAAACAGGTATTAAGAAGGTATTGTTTGTTGTTGTTAACCTTTTGAGATATAATTTACATACCCAATTAAATGTTACCCTTTTAAAGTGTACAGTTTAGCAGCCTTGAATACACTCACTCACCTGTGTAGCCATCACTGCTAACTCCAGAACATTTTCCTCCTTGGTTTGTTTAAATTATCACAAAGTATATCAAGTGAATTCACTCCACGTAACAGATTGTCTAAAGCACATAGAGACAGCTCATACCTAAAATTCTAAACAGCAACTTCTTCCTGCTACCTAGATAGTGGTTTATTTAATTCCAGAGAATTGTCCTCTATTTCCTGAGTAGTTTCCTTGGCTTCCAAAGTCCTGCACTGAATGTTGGCAAGTAACTTGTCCCCGGCCCATACTTGCTTGTGTGTGTGTGTGTTCATGGCCTGGATGCTCGAGTTGGGGTGGTATTCACTGGGTTTGTTTGTTTGTTTTTTCTATTTCATTTCAGCAAATCATGCGCACAGCCATGAAGTATAACCTGGGATTGGACCTGAGAACAGCTGCCTATGTCAATGCCATTGAGAAAGTCTTCAGGGTGTACAATGAAGCCGGTGTGACCTTCACATAGATGGATTGTAGCTGACTTCTTCACTACCCTCTTCACCTCTTCATCTGTAGACCTATCACAAGTTTACATGTAACCACAGAGATCTCTTTCTCTCATTACTTATCAGATAATGTACACCATTCTCAACAAGTCAATCCAAATAAGCCCCTTAAGAAAAAAGAAATTAAGGTTAGGGAATTATGTACAAAGCTGCCAGTAAATGCCAGAGAGATATTTGGGTATTTTGCCTTTAAATAAAAAGTCTCTCTATCTGGCTACACTGCCTTGCTTCACGGCTGCTTCCCCACTGTGCTTTGGCCAGGAAAGCACCTATAGTCAAAGAGTGGTCAGCAGCTTGTTGCTTCAGCTCTGGACAAGTCTGAGATGTGCTGTAACTTTGACAGGTTTAAGAAGCAGGTTTGTGGCACTTTCAGGATATAGCATGGTCCTCAAGTGAGTTATTGGCATTTTATATCAGCAAAAAAACTATAGATTGCAAACAAAAATAAAAGCTGTTTCTCTATTCTTTTAGATTAAATTAAGTACATACTGTTGTAATAAAATTGCCTTTAATCACTTAATAAGCCTAACCGTGACTCAAGCAGTGAATGCCTATAAACATAATGAATGAAAAAAGCTAGTATTTTTATAACATAAGACAATATCATTTATAGCTTATCAATAGTATATTGTCCAGCAAAACAAAAAGGCCAGTGGCAAATTAAGTTATCTTCATACGTAATCATTGAATAGCAAATGATGGAAGCTATTTTGTTAAGACTGTTGGAATTTACTAACCACAATTATGACATATAGTCCAAAGAATGCAGTAACCTCATCATCATGTTAATTAACTGTTCTCTTTTGAAAATCTGTGTTGACTGATCACACAATAATTCAAATAGAGTGTCCCAGGAAAAAAAACACTTGGGCTCCCTCTTTGGAATCTGACTGGCGTCTCTGAGTGTTACCCTTAATGGCCCCACTTGTCCCAACTTTGTGTCTTTGCTCAGGGGCCTCACATTATGCACACAGCTTCATTAACAGCAGCCTGAAAACAACCTGGGCCAGAGTGTTGTATTTTGCCAGGGCCTTTTGAATAGTAGTGTCCCAATGAAGTGCTAAGATATTATTTATGTAAGAATGAGCTTTTTTCTTTAACAATAATACCCTATCAGAAATTTCTAACTACTTTGTAACTGCATGACTTAACCTGGTGATAAAAGCAGTTATTAAAAGTCTACCTTTTCCAAAGCTTATGTTTCTTTTCTGTTTTTATATTTAGTAGTGTCTCTTAGTAGATGATAAAAATACCATTGGGTTTCAGACATTTTCGAGACAACCACCTGTATAATATTAATTTTGACTGTATGTATTGTGAGCAAACAAACTTTATTCTTGAATTCTTCTATGTTTCATTCTATTGAACAGTATAAATGACCATCAGAGAAGAGTTTCTATGAGGAAAAGTTTCTAGTGCTTAAAGCTGTTATACTAAATTTTTTTAGTACCTTTTTTAAAAATCCTCACCCAAGGACTTTTAGAGAGAGGGGAAGGGAGGAGAGGGGGAGAGAGAAACACTGACGTGAGAAAGAAGCATCAATTGGTTGCCACAACCCAGGTGTGTGCCCTGACTAGGAATCAAACTTGCAATTTTTTGGTTGCCTGATGACACTCCAACCAACTGAGCCATCCCGGCCAGGACTGCAGTGCCTTTTTTTCAAATAAAGGAAAGTTTCATCGATTAGGGTTTTGTTTTTAATCATTTAGCCATAGACTATCAAATTAAGACAGAATACTAACCAAAATCAGCAGAAATAGATTCCACCAACTACTTAGCTGCCAATCTGGAGCATAATTTTCAGGTCAGGTGGATTTTGTTTTGTCCTGACTAGGTGGTAGATAAACAAATCCTGTGGACAGTGAACCTTCCCAAGCTGCCGGTATCTACTTGCACTCTAGATAGAGCACTGAAATATGTTGGGGAGAAAGAGGTATGAAAACAAGTTTCAGAATAGAACAATACTGGATAGGGTAGTAGATTCAGGTCATGTGATAAGCAGGATGCTAAGTCTTAGTCTTGGCCTTTGGCTAACATACTGAGTAGTTAGGATATTTTAAAGGATTTGATAAAGGTTGATGTGTGTTATTGATACTAATGTTAGAAAAGTGGTAATGGCCATGCTAGGTATTTCTAGACAACATAGCACTAGTATCACCTTTCATTTCTGGAGCTTTGAGTTAGAAGATTCTGGTCCAATTACTTTAACCATTGTCTCATGGACCCCTATACTAGAATGTGTTTTACCCTGATAGATGAAGTTTAGGGAAATGAGAAGTGAAAGCTTCATTTTTTTTTTAATTTAAGCAATGCTTCTGGCAATTCAATTACTAGGATGTGTGATTTACTTTAAAAAAATAAAGCCTGGCATTCTAACTTAGAAGTTTTAAGTAAATTCCCTAAACATCCCTGGCAGGCTTTTTGAGTCCTGCTATGCATGAAGACAGTCAGAGCATGGCACATAAGCTACATCTGTTCACCTTGCACAGAAATCTCTGTGGAACTTTTTCTTTTTTTTGCTTTGAAATAACATGGATATTATTTTTTTATTCCTTCATTGATAATTGGTATTGGCTTCTTTGTTTTTATTTTTCTGTCAATGTTTACACAGTTTAGGTGGTTTCTGAACCTCAGCAGCATTGACATTTTAGACCAGGTAACTCTGTTCTGGAGACTATCCTGTGATTTGCAGGATGTTTAGCACCCCTCAGTGATGACTGTCAAATGTATTCAGTCAAGTACAGCATAGAGAAAACAGTCAATAATAGAATAAGTATGTATGGTGCCAGATGAGTACTAGAGTTATCAGGGAGAGCACTTCATAAGTTATATAATTGTCTGACCACTATGCTGTATACCTGAAACATGTAATCTCTAATGCCAACTGGAATTGGAAAAGATTTTGATGGATTCAGGTAACCAAATGTCCCCTGAGGGGCAAACTCACTCCCTATTGAGAATTACTGGTATAGAGGCAAGTAGTTCTTAACTGAACAATAGCCTGTCTCCTCTAATTCATATACCCACCTCAGAGGCAACCACTTCCACCAGTTTAAAATGTTTTTATTCTATTCAGATCCTTTGCCATTTTTAGTAGGTTATTATTTTATTGAGTTGTGAGAGTTCTTTATATAGTCTGGATATGTGATTCATAATTTATAAATGTTTTTCTCTCATTCTATTGGTTTGTCTTTTCATTTGATGATTTCCTTTGACACAACAGTCATTTTTATAGAGTTCAATATATTTTTTCTTTTGTTGCTATGCTTTGGGTGTCATATCTAAAAAGTCATTGTCTAATCCAAAGTCACACCAATCCTATTCAAACTCTTTCAAAAGGAGATGAGGGAACACTTCTTAACACTGCCTATGAGACCAGTGTTACCCTGATACCAAAGGCATCACAAGAAAAGAAAGCTGCATATCAACATTCCTTATGAATATAGACATAAAAATACTTAATACTAACAAAATCCAACAGCATATAAGTATTACACATCTTGACCTGGTAGGATTTATCCCAGGAATGCAAGGGTGGTGCTTCAACGTAAAGAAAGGCAATGTAATACATACCACTAGTAGAATGGAGGGGGGCAGGAATCATATAATCATCTCAATAGATGTAGAAAATAGTGTTTGGCAAAATTCAAGATCCTTTCACAATAAAACCACAGATATAGAAGGAACTTCTTAAATGTAATAAAGGGCATTTACAAAAATCCACAGCAAATTTACTCATTGGTAAAAAATAGAAAGCTTCCCCTTAGGAGTAATAAGATAAGGATTCTTGTTTTCACCACTGTTATTTGACATTTCAGTGTGAATCCTAGCCACAGCAAGAAAAAAAAAAATTAAAAGGTATCTGAATTGGAGAGGAAGTGAAACCATGTTTAAAAATGTCATGAGTCTATATATTTAAAAATCCCATAGATTATATACATAAAACTTACTAGGGCTAATAAATTAAGCAAAGTTACAGGGTACAAGATCAATATACAAAAAACAGTTGCTTTTCTACAAAACAATCTAGAGGAAATTAAGATAATTCTATTTACAGTAGCATCCAAAAGAATAAAATATTTAAGAATTTTAAGCAAGGAGATGAAAGCCTTCCACACTGAAAACTACAAAACATTGTTTAAAAGAAAGGATACCTAAATGGTAAAATCACATGTTCCTACATTAAAAATGCTAATGTTGTTACGATGACATTACTTGTAGAAATCTAGATACAAAATTGTAATTCAAAATTTCTGTCAAAATTCCAATGGCCTTTTTTGCAAAGATAGAAAATCTGATCCTAAAATTAACATGAAATTGCAAGAGGCCCCAAGTAACCAAAATACTGAAAAATAAACTTAGAAATCTCATCCAATTTCAAAATTTAATGCAAAAGCTACAATAAATAAAACTGGTTGGTACTGGCATACAAACAGACTGATGGAATAGGATTGAGAGTCCAAAACATCTATGATCAATTGATTCTAAACCTGGGTGCCAGCACCATTAAGGTTGTCTTAACAAAATACCACAAAATTGAGGGTGTAAGCCCTGGCTGGCATAGCTCAGTGGATTGAGCTCGGGCTGTGAACCAAAGTGTCGCAGGTTCGATTCCCAGTCAGGATACATGTCTGGGTTGCAGGCCATGACGCCCAGCAACCACACATTGATGTTTCTCTCTCTCTCTATCTCCCTCCCTTCCCTGTCTAAAAAAAGATAAATCAAATCTTTAAAAAAAAAATGAGGGTGTAAAACAATGGAACTTTATTGTCTCACAGTTTGGGAGGCTATCAATTGGTAACTGAAGAGCCATGCTCCCTCTGAAACCTGTAGGGGAAAATTTCTCACCTTTCCTAGCTTCCAGTGGTAGCTATCAATCCTTGGCATTCCTAGGCTTGCAGATGAATCCCTCCAATCTCTTCCTCTTTCAGTTCATGGCCACCATCCCTCTGTGTGTCTGTCCTATTGAAACAAAGTGATTGGATTAAGGGGTCACTATACTCCAGCATGACATCTAAAGTAGTTACTTCTGTAATGACACTATTTCCAAATAAGGTTACATTCTGAGATTCTGGGGCTTAGGCCTTTAGTGTATCTTTTCAGGAGACAGTTTACACATAACACTTCAATGATAAAGAATAGTCGCTTCAACAAAAGGCACTGGCACAACTGGGTGTCCACAAAGAAATTAATTTTGACATCCTCCTTCCTCATACAAAAATTAGCTCAAAATGGATCGAAGACCTCAAAATAAGAGATAAAACTAATAGAAGAAAACATAGGGGTAAATCTTAATGGCCTTGGATTTGGTAATGGATTCTTAGATTTGACATTAAAAGCAAAAATAATAAAAAATTAGAATTTATGAAAAGGAAAATCTTTTGCTCATCAAAGGACATTATTAAGGACATAAAAAGATAATCTCTATTATAGAAGAAAATATGCACAAATTATGAATATGACAAAGATTTAACATCACTTTAAAGAGCTCTTAAAACAATAACAAAGAGACAAACACCCACTTAAAAATGGCAAAGCATTTGAATAAACATTTCTCCAAAGAAGACAAATTTTCTAACAAGCACATGAAAGGTTATTCTACATTAAGGAAATGCCAATCAGAACAATAATGAACTATTTCACATCCACTAGGATAACTTTAATTTTAAAAATCATAAAATGGGTTGATATGGATGTACAGAATTAGGACCCCTTGTATATTGCTGGTGGGATTGTAAAATGGTACAGCCACTGTGGACAACAGTTTGTCAGTTCCTGAAAATGTTAAGCAGAATTACCATATGACCTCACAATTCCAACCCTAGGCAGACACACAACAGAAATGTAAACATACATCCACATAGAAACTTTTACCTGAATGTGTACGACAGCATTATTCATAGTAACCAAAGGATGGAAACGCAAAATGCCCGACAACAGATGAATGGATCAATTGTGTGTACATACAAAGGAATAGTATTCAGCCATAAACAGGAAAGAAATACTGATCCATGCTACAACTTGGATGAACCTCAAAAACATTATGCTAAATTAGAGAAGCCAGACATAAAGGGTCACATAATTGTGTGATTATTTTAATACGATATATCCAGAGCAGGTAAATCCATAGACACAGAAAGCAGATTAGTGGTTACCAAGGGGGTGAGGAAATGGATGGGGAGTGAATACTTAATAGGTATGGAGTGTTTTACTGAGGTGGTGACAAAGTTTTGAAACTAGAGAGAAGTGATGGTTGCACAACATTGTGAATACACTAAGTATCACTGAATTGTGTGCTTTGAAATGATTATTTGTAATGTAAATTTCACTTCAACTAAAATAATGGGGGGAAAAACAACCAACTTCAATCACCATCGAGGGAAACTAGTTGCATATTGACCAAAGTTTATGAGAAAACAAGTGTACACAGCAATTTTACCCTGTAAGCTGAGTGGAGATGGGTTCTGCTCTAAGGCCACCCTCTCCTGGAAAGCCTGGGGTAGACAGAGCAATGTTCTTTCAGGGAGTTGCAGGAACCTGGGGATGTTTGGGCCTTTACAACCCTGCAGTAGGTCATGAAGCTGTGGGACAGACCAAGGCCTATGTCCTGCAGGTCTCCCCTGAGGACAGCAGGGTCAGCAGTATGGAGTGGTGGTCCCACAGCTTAAGTGTATTGTGCCAGTAAAAGGTGAGGAGTCTGGGGTAGCTGGGTACAGAACTCAGACCTGACAGTCTTGTTTCCCCAGGACTTAGAAGTCATCCCACTGTCTTCTGTCCTCTGGTTTCTGATGAGAAGTCACCTGTTAATCTTACTGAGACACTCTTTTATGTAATGGCTTGTTTTTCTCTCTCTGTTTTGGGATTCTTTCTTTGTCTTTCAGAAATTTGATTAGGATTATACCTACTTGGATTATACCTACTTGGAGCTTCTTAGAAGTATAGATTAATGTTTGTCATTAAATTTGTTGTTTTCAGCTATTATTTCTTCAAATAATCTTTCCACCTTCTTATCTTTTTTCCTTTTATACTCCCATTATGCATAAGGTAGTACTCTTGACAGTTACCCACAGGTCTCTAAGTCTCTGTCCTCTTTTTTTTTCTTTCTGTTCCTCAGATTGAATAATCTCATTTGATTTATCTTCACTGATAAAGTTCACTGATTCTTTCATGTGCCTGCTCAAATCTGATGTTGAGACCCTCTAATGAAAATTTTTTAAGTATTTTTTATTGATTATGCTATTAGTTTTCCCAATTTTTCCCCCTTTATCTCTCCTCCTCTCTGCACCCCAACATTCCAGCATTCCCTCACCCCTTAGTTCATGTCCATGGGTTGTATATATAAGTTCTTTGAGTTCTCTGTTTCCTATACCACTTTTTTAATCTCTCCCCATCTATTTTATGCCCACTAATTATGCTTCTGTGTACCTTCCCCCCCATTCCTCCCTTCCCCTTCCCCACTGAAATCCCTCCATATGGTGTCCATTCTCTGATTCTCTGATTCTGTTCCCGTTCTAGTTGTTTGCTTAGTTTTTGTTTTTGTTGTTTTTATTTTCTTTTAGGTTCATTTGTTGAAAGTTGTGAGTTTGCTGTCATTTTATTGTTCATATTTTTTATCTTCTTTTTCTTAGATAAGTCCCTTTAACATTTCATATAATAATGGCTTGGTGATGATGAACTCCTTTTAATTTTCTCTTATCTGGGAAGCACTTTATCCACCCTTCCATTCTAAATGAAAGCTTTGCTAGATAGAGCAATCTTGAATGTAGGTCCTTGCCTTTCATGACTTGGAATACTTCTTTCCAACCCCTTCTTGCCTGCAAGATGTCTTTTGAGAAATCAGCTGATAGTCTTATGGGAACTTCTTCATAGGTAACTCTCTTTTCCTCTTGCTTCTCTTAGGATTCTCTCTTTATATTTAATCTTAGGTAACTTAATGATGATGTGCCTTCATGTGTTCCTCTTTGGGTCCAACTTCTTTGGGACTCTCTGGGCTTCCTGGACTTTCTGGAAGTCTATTTCCTTCACCAGATTGGGGAAGTTTTCCTCCATTATGTGTTCAAGTAAGTTTTCAATTTCTTGCTGTTGTTCTTCTCCTTCTGCCACCCCTATAATTCAGGTATTGGAATGTTTCAGGTTGTTTTAGAGGTTCCTTAAATCTCCCTTCACTTTTTTGAATTCTTGTTTCTTCATTCTGTTCTGGTCAGATGTTTATTTTTCCCTTTTGTTCCAAATTGTTGCTTTGAGTCCTGGTTTCCTTCCTGTCACTGTTGGTTTCCTGAATATTTTGCTTTACTTCATTTTGGGTATATTTCATTTGTTCTTTCATTTTTCAACCAAGCTCAGTCAGTTCTGTGAGCATTTTGATTACCAGGGCTTTAAATTCTCCATCAGATAGGTTGTCTATCTCCTCATCGCTTAGCTCTCCTTCTGAAGTTTTGCTCTGTTCTTTCATTTGGGCCATATTTCTTTGTCTTGGTGCACCTGTTAAGGTGTAAGGGGACCGGGCCTTAGGTATTCACCAGGGCAGAGCAACCCTCCTTGCTTCGCTGCAGAGCTGCCTGTTGGGGGAGGGGCCAGAGAGGGAACAATGCAGCTCACCTGCTCGTCTCTAGTGCACTTTCCAACAAACTCTTGTGTGAGACTGGGAGTTTCTCCCACCACAGCAACCGCCATAGTTCACAGTCCACAGTGAGTCTCAATTTTGGCTTCAGCCAGCCCCACCCTCTTGGTCTGCCACCTTGCCATGGGTTCTTACCAGTCTGGTTGTTCTGGTTGACTTTTTCTTTAATTCCTTGGTTGTTGGAGTTCCATGCAGTTTGATTTTCTGGTACTTCTCGTTGTTTATTGATTTTAGATTGGTTGTTATCCTCCTTTTGTTTGTGCAAAGAAGCAAAGGGTTTCTACCTACATCTTCATCTTGGCCAAAACTCTCAAAAATCTTTATTTTGTTCTTTATTACAATGTATTTGTATTCTCTATTTGGTATCGATCTTGTATTTCGTTTAATTCTTTAGATGTGCTTTCCTTTAACCCTGTTTATGTTTAAAATATAGGGTGGGACAAAAGTAAATTTACAGTTGTGAGTATATAAAACAGTTTATTCTTATATTATTATTTATTAATGATTGTATTATTTATCATAAAAATAACTGTTAACCTACTTTTACCCCACCCTGTAGCTGATTTAAAGTTTTTGTCTAGTTGGCCCATTTCTAGTCCCTTTTGGACATAATTCCATTTCCCCCTTTTAAATTGGTTATAATTTCTTTTTTGCTGAAAATAGGACATGGGAAATAACATAATATGGCAACTCTGGAAATCAGATTCCACAACCCTCCCCCAGATTTGTTGTTGTTGCTGTGAATTTAGTGACCTTTCTGAGCTAATTCTATAGTATGTTTGTTGTGTATGGCCTCTGAACTTCGACTTAGTTTTCTTACTGGTCAGCTGATGATTGGACAGAGACTTCTTGAAGTACCTCAAACCAGTAAGTCCACACGTTTGCGAAGGGATTTTGTGCACATGTTGGGCCTCACTTTCAACACTCAGCCAAGCAGTTAACATTTTTTTCCTGTGTTTTCACTCCCTGCTTGCACAGAGCCTCAAGATTATTTGGAGATAAGTGTTTTGAGTCTTCTGAGGTCCTTTACTGAGCACCTGCACAGTCAGTCTTATGGACATGGCCTTCTAGATTCCCAGAAATATGTTGGAATTTTCAAAGACTCTGTGGACATTTTATTCCCCAGTTTTTCCTTTTAAGCTTTTTGGTTAGCCTATTGTTTGCCCAAACTCTTATCCAGCACCTCAAGTAACCACCAACTTAAAAAATGCCTCTATATATTTTATGATAGCCCTAGGGAAAAGATTTTCAGCATTAGCTGAGCTACTAGTCAGAAAAAATAAAGGCAGCCTTGCAGTGGGGTGTTTTCCTAGGAACCACCAGTCAAATCAGATAATGACAGT